CAAGTACAGCTGTTCTACCAAAAAACAAGTTCAGTTCATGATTACCCTTTCTCCTCCTAACTCACTCTTAAATGCAGAGCCCTTGTTAAGCCATAGAAAGTAATCACTGTGCTCAGGGAACATGTTTTTATGGTCTCCCAAGAGAGAATGTAAACAGAGCATGCTTCAGTTCTCTTTGGATGCATCTTCTCAGATACGTGGAGAGCATCCTTCCCATCTCTACACACTTACACCTCCTCACCTCAGATCAACCAGCTGCAGTTGTAAATTTTACCTTGGCCACAGGGCACAGACATCAGGTCCCAGACACAATATCTTTTCGTCAACTAGTTTCTTGATCGTTCCTTCTGTGTTTATATGGCACACATGCTAAATCTATCCAACCCTGTCTTCTAGACCAAAGCACATATTTTCCCCAGGGAAAGGCCAAGCCCAGCTGAGGGACAGTTCACACCAGAGCTCACCCCAGACAAGCTGCGTAGAGAGGTATCAGACTGCTTTTGCCTCTCTCAGCTCTGGCTCTGTTGTAGACAGCTCTGCTCTCCCCATGCACACACTTCCCTGCCACTCCCCAGTGCACCCAACGTGTCTCATCTTCAATCTATAGAAAACAACTCTCTGGCAGGCTTAAAAGAAGTAATTCCTACTACTTCGACCATTTTGAGCTGAAAAACAATGCAAATATATCCCCAGGCGTGGAACAAAGAACCCACCAAACCAAGCACCATGAAGAATGAGCATAGCTAGTCCACTTTGTGTGGTGCTAACCTTCAGCGGTGTGAACATGAGCTGGTTCATGCCTTGGCTGCATGGAGTGGTGCACAGAGGCACATTTGACACAGCAGGTCCGATGGCGAAACTCAACAAATGCTTGAGTGTTCACCCCAAGAATGCCAGGGATAGTAAAGCTTGATGAACGCAGCAGGTCTGATGATGAAACTCAACAAATACTTGAGTTTTTACCCTCAAAATGCCAGTGATAGTAAAGCTTGATGAACACAGCCTGCTTGAGGAAGTGATGATGTTATTAAAGACACTGCTTCCCTTGGAAGAGATGGAATGCCTGGTTAAATAAACAGGCAGGTCTTTGCTGCTCCATGTTGCAAACTGGCCAACAGCAATGATGCTAAAGCAGCCAAAATCACTGCCTTCCCTGGTGTGCATGCACAGGACATGGGTAAAGGAAAAGCAGGGCATTCAGGTTATCTTCACAGTGTCCTGAGGGGAGGTATCAGGGCTGGGCAGGACTGTGTTTTCAACAGTTCAGCAAGAGAAAAGAGGAATTTCTTTTTGAATTTTTGGCTACTCCAAGTAAAAGATACTGGGCAAGTCCAGAACATTTCAGGAAAGCCACGTCAGATGTCAAGACTTGTCATACAGTACAAGGTATAACACTCCACGTAAGGAGTGTTATACCTCATGCAGTCAGATGCTCCAAGCCTCCCTACGTGGTCAAAATTACACTTTGATCCACTTGGATCTTGAGAGAAATAAATGAATGAATAAATAAATGAATGAAAGAGGAAGAGAGAAAGAGGGAGAGGAAGAGAAGAATAAAGGAGGGAAGGAAAGAAAAGAGAAAATAAGAGATGAAGGAAAAGGGAATGAGGGAGGGAGGAAGGGGGGAAGGAAAGAACTCCAGTGAATTTTAGAAGATTCAGTCTAAATGCGTTTCCTGGAAAAACATTAAACACAAAGCCAGTACTTCTGTTTGTCGCCACCTAAAAGATAACACACAAAACGTTATCAACAAATACAGGTTTGTTGGGATTAACTATCAAGTGAGTAATCAACTGTACAAATATGAACCAGGAATTACTGGCCGGACTTCCCACAAGCAGGAAGAACCCAAGAATCAGTATCAAAGCACAACAGGCTGTGGTGCAACAACCTATGGGTATTGCGAAAAAAGCAAACTTCACCTGAGACTTGTGGAACAG